TGCAGTGATAAACACATTGTTATAGAAAAGCACCAGCGACTGTCTTGTACTTGATAGCGATTCATCAAAATCCGATTTATTACTTCCGCCTTCCGTGCCGGAAAAATCGTGATATCGACACTATATTAAGTATCATAGTGGTTCGAATATAAGAAGTGTCTTCCATTCCATTAAAATATCCTTCTGGAAAAACCAGATCCACCATATTTAATATTCTTCAGTTACATTCTGGTGTGTGTGTGTGTGTGTGTATTTAATTATGGCAAAGCACACTAGGGCTATCTGCCTGAGAGGAGGGATGCCTTCGTGGAGGACTTTCTAAGGGAAACTGGCTCGTATACACGTTACACATGGGGAAAACCACGAAAACGCCCATGCAGCCAGCCCGTTCGCGGGATTCGAACCTCAGACCGAACTACCAGTGTTCAGCGACTTTACCGCTCGGCCGCTGGTGGGCTCAGTTACATTCTGATCAAGGAATATAATATAAATACGTTATTATAGAATAGGTATAATTTTGTATAATAAAATGTATATTATGCACAATTTTATTATGTATTATGTATAATTTTATATAATTCTACTAAAAATATCTAACTAAATGCAAAACTCGTAACAAATATATACAGCTTAATTTAAAAATATGCATCAATAATAATTTATTACTTCTTCCATAAGTTTTATATTAAATGAAAGCATATTTACTTTGTTTTACCTCAAGGTATAATAATTTAGACCAAGGATGTCAAACTCGCGGCCCACAACAAATATTTTTGCTGCCCGGCAAATATATCGGCAAATAATAATACATAATAATAAAATAACATATCGACGAAGAAAAAAATGAAATGTTTACTGCTAAGTAATTAACGATAATTTATTCAGTGTTGTTAGATTACTCACAGCGAGCTGACACACACACTACTTAAATTACAAATGCGTGTGAGTAGCTTGCTTTCAGCTACCTTCGGCTTTTGGGGGACACGTGCACTCAGAACTTGTACGCATCCTCCGATAGCCGAATGTGGCCGAACTCATGGTCTCAGTTTTCCAATCATAGTTTTGTACGATAGGAAAAGATCATATCATTACGAACATGTTTGACATAATTAAAGCATTCAAATGTCGATTAGTTCTTTGGGAAAACCAACTTAAAAATGAAGATTTTACGCACTTCCCGACGTGCAGCATGAACAAATCAAGTTTAGATGATACTTGTTCGTATCAAAAATACGCAGAAAAAATTGCAAATTTAACAACTGAATTTGAAACGAGGTTTAATGATTTTAATTCCCTCGAAGACAAGTTTTTTTTTTTTTTTTTTTTTTTTGTTTTTGTTTTCTTCGATTTTCTCAATAAGTATTGACTTAGTACCCAGCCATATGCAAATGGAGGTGATCGAGATTCAATGCAACTCAAATTTGAAAGCAAAATTCATTGAAGTGGGCGTGCCTGAATTTTACAAATATTTACCAGACAGGTTTGAAAATACTCGAAAATTCGCATATGAAATTACTTCCATGTTTGGTGTTTGGTAGCACTTATCGGTGCGAGCAGTTATTTTCAGTCATGAAAGGTAATAAATAAGTCTCCTATTAGAAACCGTATTAATGATGCTCACCTTGGGTCAGCGTTGAAAGTTATCACTGCAAACGAAATTTCTCCCGAAATAGGAAAGATAATAGTAGAGAAGAGATGTCAAGTATCAGGACGTAAACATTAAATTTTTCTTGTTCTTTTCTATAAATATATATATATGTTTATTATTGTATTATTCGGAATAAATCTACGTTTCTATGAATATTGATTTTTTTTTTTTTTCCGGCCCGCCTAAAGTTAAACCTTGTTTGTTTGGTCCAAGTGTACCTATGAGTTTGACATCCCTGATTTAGACCATTAGTCAAATTGTTTGGTTCAATCCGCCAAGTTTAATTCCCGGAGATTGGGACGGGCTGGCTGCATGTTTTCGTAGTTCTCTAGCATGTCTTGTGCGCTGTGTATACACAAAAGCCCTCCATGAAGGTATCCATTCCCTTAGGTAGATAGTCCGCATGCGCTTTACGATACTCAAAATAAATCAGAAACCTTAGAAAATTGTCTACGAAGGTATCATTCCTGTCAGGCAGATAGCCCTCAAGTGTTTCGCCACATTCAAATAACCATCCATTTGTAAATGCTTTTGGTTTGGTTTAGTAGATTATGGCAAAGCACACTAAACTATTTTCCTAAGAGAAATGGGTGCCTTCGTGGAGACTTCTTACCTGAAATGGCTAGTATACGCGGCTCACACGGGAAAAACACGCCCATGCAGCGAGCTCGTTCGCTTACAATCGAAGCTAAGTCAGAACTACCAGTTGTCAGCAATTTTACCGCTCGCCCACTGGTGGTTTGTAAATGCTTTTGGATATATTCTCTTTGGTAAGAGATCAAGACTATATATTTCTTAGCTGAAATCTTCGCTTTTCAACCTGTGGATTCTCGTACAATCCACCTTAAAAATTGGAAAAAGAAATCTGAGAGCTTTCAGACTTTACATTTTTTTTTTCAAAGTTTTGTGGGTTACCTTTGTTTATTAAATATCATGTTCTTCGCATTTAAGCCATAAAATTCAGTTCAATGGCAATATCACAAAAATTTAAAACGAAACAACATATCTTTAGAATTTCAGAATATATAGTCTCGCGCGCTGGTGATAAGCAAAAAAAAAAAAAAAAAAATTTTTTTTTTTCGTATAGTGGTGCCACTGCTCGTTTTGAAATCGTCGAGTTTCTTAATCAAAAACTCATAAATGCTTTACAAAATATGAAACAGATAATAAAACAAATACTAAATTTGGGCTTCCAAATACCCACATTTGGGTGACGTACGTTATCCAAATTTGGATGGCTCTAGTTACCGTTGTTTTATCACAATGCGAGAAACACACATGCAGATTCTTCATTATTTAATTTCTTTAGTACAGGGCTCTGATATTTGTTGGCAACAATACGAAAAGTGAAACAACGCTTATTGTGAATCGAAGCAAAATGCCAAAACGAAATTAATAGCACTTCAGGGCAAATTGTCCTTCGGGCTTAAAAAAAAAAAAAAAAAAAAAAAAAAAAAAAAAAGACTACGATTGGAGTGACGGTTCTAAGAACATTCTAGAACAAAGATCTCAACCTTTATTTAATTATGCGTACTATAAATGTTAAAAGTCAGCAATATTTCTATAATCATATTTGTTTTCAAAATCTGAATATCTGCATGCTTATGCAATACACTTATATATACAAACTAATAACTGAGACATATTAACAAACTTAATACCGATGCTACACATCTATTCCTATGAAATCACCCATAACTGTATTTATTTCATCTAACTACATATACATTATTACCCAGAACAAAACAAATTTTCATGTGAAAACCGTAATTTTTATTTTTTCAGTATCTTGGTTGCGCAAAATGAAACTACGAGTGAATCTTGATTGCGCAAAATAAAATTGCCAGCGAATTATGATTGGTAACCAGCAAAACAGCAAGCAAAAAGATAGCTCCAAAATTTAATTTATTTCAACGTTTTCTTTTCACAAACACTCTGGTTTGGAAAAACCACTTATCGTAGATACGTACACTCGATAAGGTACGATTTGTTCTTTCAGATTGATAAAGTTGCATAACTACGGTTCCGCAAGAATGTGTGTGACCTAAAACAATTCTAATGGCTCTACCTGTACAAGAATTAAAGCCCATTCGAGTTAATTAAGTTAGTAAAAATCTTACGATTAATTAACCTTTAATTTTTTTACAATTTAATGAAACTCAAAGTGATTAAACTACCCAATTACATTTTGTTCTCAAAATGATCAAAGCCATTTTCAGTTTCACGCGGGAAAATATAGATTTGCAGATTTCATTATGCAAAAGAACGATAAGATTTGATGATAATATAATTGATGATGAATGATAAGATTTGATTTCTCTTACATTGAAGAATGTTTTTAGATTATTAATTCAGCAATTTAATTACTCGCCTTCAAATGTAATGAATAAAAATTGAAATGCAAAGTAATGAATGAATATTTATATATAAAATATATTATATTTGAATAGAATGAATATAGTAATGAATATTTATGCAAAGGTTCTTGATGCATGAAAATTACCTCGAAGTTCCATCAGACTAAAAAAAAATGGCGAACAGCAGATTCGCATTTTTCAATCCTAGATCGGCATTTGTTTGTTTACAACCAGCACTTGAAAAATCAATAAGAACTGCACTCAAGTGACCTGATGTTCAATTAGAGGTTCAATTTTGACCTGATGTTCAATTAGAGGCATGACAGTTAATCGCAGCGTTTAACAAATGTATAAGTTAAAAATCAGTTGAGATATCATAAACACTAATAATTTTTTTTTAAAGAATACGGGATTCAATACTTATGATTACCTATGAAATAGTTAATTCCTTGGAAATCAGCAGTACATCGCAGTTTCTAGAATATATCTAGAATTTTAGAAATTCTATTTATCTAATTGTATCTAGAATTCTACCTTCTAGAATTAAAAAAAAATATGCAGTTCTAAAGCTATCAACAAAAATTATTATCAGTTAATTTAAAGAACACTGAGTAACTAAGCTTTAAGGAATATTTTAGGGAACCACTACTGGATAAAGTAGCAAACGAAAAAAACTTTCTGAAGGTCAACAGCAGTACATGTATATGCAATACATACATACACTTTACATACATAAAAGTCGGAATGAAATACGTGTTTTAAAGGGAGAAGATTTCTAAATTACTTGGTAATTTCTTTTTTTCTGCATATTCATTTTTAATGCATTCACACTGCATTAAATATTAAAGCCTGTTTGCGAAGTACACATGCACACGTGTTAAACTTCTTCTATTTATCTTGTTATCAGACACGAAAACGTGATATTATCCGATAACAGATAATAAAATGAAATAAATGTTCACAAACTTAAAAATACTAGGAAAATAAGTACTTACATTTCTCGAACGTTAATCCTGCCATCAAATTTCACATAGACGTAGATTGTCGAAATAAAATAACTTTCGAACACAAAACACACTTAAAAAAAAAGAAAAAGAATAAAAGCCGGAGGGAACTGTTTAATTCCCGCACAAATGTTGCATATGAATCAAAAACGTGTTGTCAATTGTTTTTTAAAAAGGATCCAAATCGAAATCCGTTCAGAGCACACAATTTACATCGTTAGCACTTTTCAAAACAGTAACCATTCGAAAACAGATAACGAAACCGATGCTAAAGAGCGTGCAAATGTAACTCTTGTTTGGATGTCTATCTACCTGTACTCGGCATCCAAACTAACAGCTCAAAATCAGCGTCCAGCGCCGCCAAGTGTCAGACTCCAAATATGAAAAAGCTAGACTGACTGCTCGAAACTTTGGTTCCTCCCCCTTTCTTGATTCCCTCCCTTCTTACACATTTTTTTTTCATGCATGATATTTTTCTGCTCCCCCTTTATTCTCTCCCCTCTGCTTCCGATGACGTTTCTTACTGTCAGGAGATCCGATTGGCTCTTCAATACCAGTTGTCTATTTACTTGAGTAATAGGATTTTCGTTCTTTATATTTGGCTACATTTCGCGGCTTGGCGACAAAAAAAATTAATTAAGCAATTTATATTTTATGTACATTCTTAATATTCTTTTTGAAATTACACATACAGAAGTTCCGGCTTGTAATAACAATAAAATTATTTCGTAACAGAATCACGTATATTAAAATTTAGAGTTAGTAAATTTAACTCTAGAATAGAATTCAATATGCTCTAAAATTTTCTTAAAGCATGGTATTTTTTTTTTAATTTAATTTTATTTCTTTCAATTGTATTTATTTATTGTCTTATTTATTTACTTAAACGAAATATGGAGAACAAATTAAGATATTACTTGAATTTTTCAATGATTAATTAATTAAATAAATTCGGTTTGGCATTTTGCGTTGATTCACTTTTCAGACTGTTGCCACCAAATACTACAGCCCTGAATTATATTAAAAAAATTAAATAATGAAGAATCTGTATAAATGTAGTATGTTTCTCGCATTGGCGATAAAACAACGGTACGTAGAGCTATTCAATTTTGAATAACGTAATCCCCCACCGAATATGGGGAATTTGGAATTTATTTTATTATCTATTTAATATTTCATAACATTTCAACGAATTATTGATTAAGAAACTCAACAATTTCAAATCGAGTCATGGCAACGTTGTTCAGAAAAAACTTTTTATCTGCAGCGCGCGAAACTATGTATCGGAAAATCTAAAGATATGCTCATTTTAAAATTATTTTGCGATATTGTTGTTGAATTGAATTTTATGGTTTAAATGAAAAGAACATGATATTTAATACATAAAGGTAACACACAAAACGTTATAAAACTCCCCTTTGGACGTAATGTAAAATCTGAATGCTTTCAAATTTTTTTTAGTAATTTTTTAATAATAAAATAATTTTATACTTAAAAATACACATGAGCAGCATTTGCCCCTTATTTTTGCTTGTTCGGTTAATCTAAATTTTTAAATATGTAGCTGATATAATTCACAAAAAAAATAAATAGAGAAAAAAATTAAATATTTTGCAGATGGAAAGTATAAATTTCAAATTTGTTAAAACTGCAAAGACTGCTGTTTTCTGCTATTTTCTATTCTCAGATACTGCAGGTATGACTATCATCTATATCAAATTTTCAAATTTATATTATTTTAATTAATTCATTTATTTATCAGTTAATTGTTATGGTAAATTTGCCATTGACAGCTTAAAGATATTTAACTCTTTTTAAAATAAAAAAAAAAAAGTAAAGTTTAAAATCTGTTACATTCCACGATGTAAAAATATGTTTTTATCTTCAGCAATCTTGTATATTGCATATTACAGATTCTTGCTTTTGGTGTATGTGATTATGGCAAAGCTTCGAGGGCTACGTGTCTAAGAGGAGGGGTGCCTTCGTGGAGGGCTTTCTAAAGGAAACTGGCTCATTACACGTGGAGAAAACGACGGAAACGCTCATGTAACCAGCCCGTTCGCGGGATTCGAACCTCGGACTGAACTACCAGTGTTCAGGATTTTGCCGCTCAGCCATTGGAGGACTGCATGTTAGAGGAAGCAGGTTATACAGCGGAAACTCCATGTATAGAGAATACTGATTTAAAAGAAAATAAATTAATAAATTTACCTAAGTACCTAGAGCATTTTTCATTTGGTCTTTGATATTTATTTATAGACATATATCTTTCTCAATCTACATTAAGAAAAGAATATCATGAAAAAAACCGTACGAAATCTTCGTACACAATATAACAACTGAATAAAAAGTATGAAAGTAAGACAGAAATGGGTCCGAGAGTCTCCCACACTTATTTCCAAACCATCAAACCACACGAGAGGACTTTCGGATCGCCATACATTAAGAGCGCCCCCATACCGCAAAGACATTATACATTTACAAACATCCATGCTTTCTCTGGGGTTCGAACCCGAGCCCTTCGACACGGTAGTCAGAGTCACTAACTACTATCCCGTTTTGGGCGGCAGATAATTGTAGAATTAGATATTGAAGTTAGATTTAAAATTTTTCGGTTACAAAAGAAGCTTACATCAGATTTTCTTAATATCGGTCCCTTAGGAGGTTGCTGAATTTAATTTTGTATCTAATTTAATGTTATGCACATGCAAAGAGAATTTACTTTTTAAATTATATTCTGACAATATAAAGTTGTTTCTTAGGTAAATTTTACTGTCAAACACTTGCTTAGAAGGTGTTTGAGTATATAAAGGACGATTTCTGTCTCGGAACGAATATAGGTTATAAAAATAAGCAAAAAAAGTCACAAATAGGAATATCACAAAATGATTTAAAAAGAGCATATCTTTAGAATTTCCGATGTACAGTCTCGCGCACTGGAGATAATTATTTTATTATTTTTCTTTCTTTGTCCCCCCCCCCCCCCTCGTACAGTGCTGCTATTGCTTGCTTTGAAATCTTTTGAGTCTGTTAATCAAAAATTCGTTAAAGTTTTACAAAATATGAAATTGATAATAAAACAAATTCCCAATTCGGACTTCCAGATGCCCCTATTCGGGTGCAGAGAGTACGATATTCAAAACTGGATGGCTCTAAGTACCGTTGTTTTATCACAATGCGAGAGAAACATGCATACATTTATGCAGATTCTTTATTATTTAATTTCTTTAAATATAATACAGGGCTCTAATATTTGGTGGCAACAATTTGAAGAAAAGTGAAACAATGCATGTAATGAAACGCCACAAAATGCCAAAACGAAATTAATAGCCCTTCTACACTAACGCCCTTTATGCTAATAAACACTTGAAAATATAATTCTGAAAATTTCATCGAACCGTTCATTCTACGAGCAGTACTTAAAGCAATAAAAAGTACCTAATTTAGAGGGGTATTTAAAAAGGCTTATAAATACGAGAATTAATAAATACGAATAAATGTGCTGTTGAAATAGTATTTCAGTATTATAACAAGTAAGCACACTGTACAAAAATATTATTTTAGAGAAATAATGCTTGATAAATTTCGACATAGTACTTGAGATTATTTTTGAAATACAGTGATATAGAAAAGTGTCTGCTTTTAATTCCTCGTACAAAGTAAAAAGGAAGTATTGTAATCGCGAAAAGCTTCAGGCAGCATATTTCAACGAAAATATCCACTTTGATCGCTTTCGAATGCAATTTAACGATGTTTTTGCGTGATATCTGTACGTAAGGACACAAAAAAGACTCGTTCCTCAAAAAAAAAAAAAAAAAAAAAAAAAAAAAAAAAAAAAACTGCTTTAAAATGAATTCTGAAGAGACTTTTTCGTGTCTGTACGAACGTATGTACGTACGTGCGTACGTACTATCTCGCATAACTCAAAACGAGTAGCCTCAGAACGTTGAAATTTTGTATATAGACTACTATAACATGTAGATGTGCACCTCGTATTTGGTTCAATCGGCAGCGCCAAACGTATATAATATATTTATAATATTCCTCTGTTACCCGGCTCAGTGATCTCAGTTTCTTTACTTTTATATGTTTGTAAATTGTACATTTGTTGCTTTAAAAATGATTGAATTATGTTGTTTTTGTCTTTCGGTTAAGGGTTTTATGTCTTTAGTAAATCTGTATGCAATATTTTTAGAATTATCAACAATTTTAAAATTGTTTAAGTACCGCTAAGCCTAATTTGATGGCGGCCATTGCTCTTGTTTACATTTGAAACAGCTGAGTAGCGGATTTGTTGCCAATCTAGAGAAACTGAGCTTCGCAACAACAAAGATAACGCCTTCATTTATTATTTAAATCATGCTTAATCCTTTCTGGAATTTTCGAGGAATAAGCGTTTAAGATTTACTTCGTAATTTTTAATACAGGTATTTTGAATTTTTATGTATTTTTGCCTTGTCGCGAAGTGAAAACTGAATTAATTGAATGAAATACTCAATCGTCTGTGAAAAACGTTTCTTTTTTGTTTTGTTTGCTTAATTTCTTTTATACGTCGTTCTAGCTTTATTATAGTATTTGAATAGAACATGTGGGAACGAGTAGATAATTTTTAAATGATATAAATTTTGTGCATTCTGAGTTATAATATGAACGAAATATAATACTGTTAAGTAAACCTAGCGCCAGAGTGTCGCTATGGTAAACAAAGTGAATTTTAAAGAGTGCATTTATTGTACTGTGGTTTATGCGGTGTTCGGCGAAGTAGGTTTAATTGAATCCAATAAGTTTAAATGAAATGCAAGAAAAAATGCGTATAATTTAATATTCCGTTCAAGGAAGTGATGTGGTGTACACATCAGATTTTTTTAAAATTCATTGCTAAAGAATATAATACATATGTACTGCATCGACATCACTGATTTCTTTAAATCGCACATGAAAATTTTCAACTACCGCAATTTGTTAAAATTACATAATAACTAGAAAAATCTTCGAAATTTTATGTATAAGCCGGGAAAAAATTCGTTCGTCTAAAAATAGCCAAGGAAGAATATTTGGCAGAACAGCGCGGGAGAATTTCGGAATGGCAACCCTCTCGCAACACTGCTCAGGTCGTGCTAGCTACCTGTTGAATGACCATATTCGGAGTAACGCGACGAGAATGCGTAACGAGCGGCGACTGCAACGGATCTGTCGTAGAATTCTTAATTTTGATTTAAAACTGAAGAAATACAGTTCAACGTTTTAATATCTTATAGGTTTTGACACATTTTGAGCATCAACCACTGTTCTTTCCATTTGCTGCCAGAAGAAGTAAATGTTAAAAATAAAATATTTTCGTATAAAAAAAATGACGTAAGCTTTTACATATTTATTACTAAAATGAAGGAAG